CAGGGCCCTGCACCGAGGCCCCCGCCGCCCTGTGCAGAAAACACCTGAGACGTCCCGGGGTCTGCCCGTCCACCTGAGTGGACCACCCTTATTACAGGCCCTGCAGCCACGAGCCCCGCTCCAAAGCAACGTCCAGGTGAGCAGCCTCCTGGGTGGCTGCGGGTGGCGGTGGCAAGCACAGGGTCCCCCTGCAGCCTCCGTTCCCTATTGTTTAAAGGGGTGCTGGGGACCAGAACTGTGCCCCTCTGAAGCACTCCCTGGGGCAGCAGGCCATCAGGACAGAGGGCAGCAGGCACTGGTGGCAAGTGGGGTGCCCCTGGGGGATCTGATCTAGAGTCACTGTGCCCTGCAGAGCACCGGGCCTGCCCCAGGCTGGGGACACACTGCAGGACAAGCAGTGGACAGCCAGCCACCTGTGCTGGCTCCTGATGGGCGCTGCCCGGGGTGAGTGACACTGCAGACAGGAGGGCGAGGGAGGGCCCTGGAGCGAAGATCCTGAGCACTCGTTTCTCCTTCAGATCCAGGAAATAAAGGAGGAGAATGGCCTCCCCCAGACAAGACTCGGAGGAGGGACTCGGGGCTCAGAACGGAGCCCAGAGACGGAAGGAGCAGAGAGGTCAGAGGGCGGCACAGAAAAGGACAGGACTGCAGGCCACAAAGCCACGCGAGGAGGCCAGGCGGAGGGCACGGGCATCCAGCGGAGAAGTCAGGACATGTGTCCAGAGTGCACACCTCCGCTGGCCAGTCCCCTGCTGGGCAGAGCTGAGGCAGAGCCACTGCAGGAGGGCCTGGCACAGGGACCTGGGAGCTGCCCAGAGCTCACACGGCCTCCGCCCCTGGGCAAAGCAGGACTGAGCCATGGGGCAAAAAGGGACATGAACCCTCTGATGCCCCTGTGAGTGACCACACTGTGCAGAGCCAGAGAACAGCACCCTCCGCCAAGCAGAACGCCCAGGGTGACCAAGGGCAGGTCTCTGTTCAGCAAACTGGCCATTGCCGGGTCTGTGTCGGTGCTGGACAGTGGCTGCTGGAAGTGGGCCAGCCAGAAGCAGGGCGCTCCAGCCCTGGGTGCTCACAGCTCCGYGGAGGGCGAGGGCCGCAGTGCTCCCAGAACACTGGCCACTGGCCACCTACCATCCATCCCTCCATGGTAAGATGCTGGCTCACCCTCCCAGAGTCCCAGTTCCTCTGCTGTAACTGGGCGTGGAGACGCTCCCTGGAGAAGCTGGAGGCCGAGAAGGCTCCCCCCAGCCCCCTCGCCCCGCCCCCTCCCCACTCCCCCGCCCCCCGCCCCCCCAGGGAGCGCAGCAAGGAAGCGGGAGGGGGGGGAGGAGCCGCCCCTTCACCTCTGGATCCCCTCTGCGTCCTGCCCCGGGAGCCACCRTGCCAGGAACAGGCATCGCACAGGGACAGAAGGCACACAGGGCACTTGGGGACCTCTGTGGGTCAAGGAGGACCTGGCCACTCAGGGGGGCAGTGGCCTTTCTGCCCAGCCCACTCGAGACCCTCCTGGAGGGCTCTCCTCTGYCCAGGAGGCGCGGCGCCCAACAGGAACCAGCCGCACTGCGTTAAAAGGCCACAGGTGCCCTGCAGCCGCGCCCTGCCCAGGCGCTCAAGACCCAGGTGGACGGGCCAGCTCGACCTCGTGGGGAACAGCCTGAAAGTCACGCACGGGGGAACCTCCAGCAGAGACAACAGGGATCTGGGGATTTAGAGAAGATGCCGTGCAGCCTCCTCCGGAAAGCCGGGAGACGCCAGCCCCCGCCTGGTCCTCTCCAGAGAAAGTCCTGGGGCAGCCCTCAGAGAGCCCGTCCCCAGCCCAGAGAGGAAATCAGGAGGGTCCCAGGACGAGGAGGGGAACTCGGTCCTCCCCACGGCCACACGACTCCCTGCAGGTCTGTAGGTGAGAGAAGCAGGTTCAGAACTCAGGTCACACGACCAGAGTGTGGACACACATGTGCCCAAGACCATGCCCAGGCCCAAGTCCTCCCTGGGAAGCCGCCCAGCCACAGAGGGGAGGGAGAGCCGGCCCAGGGAGCCTGAGCTGGGCCCTCAGTGGAACGCTGTGCTTGGATCTGCAAGTCCCCAAGGCCATCCAGTGTCACTGGGAGGGGGCGGAACCTGAGGAGGCGGGTCCTCGGGGGAGGCTGGGTCATGGAGGCATGCCCTGAGGGTCCACGGGACTCCGACCCCCTCCTGTCCCTCTGTACTTCCTGGTCGCCCCTCTCCTGTGTGTCCCACGTGATGTGCAGCACCACCCCCGGCCGAGGCAGCAGGACCCACTGACCATGGTCTGGAACCTCCCAACTCTGAGCCAAATAAACCTCTTCTCTTTTTAAGTGGATGGTATCAGGTACTTTGTCACAGCAATGGAGGCTGAGTAACGAGGGAAGCTCTCACTGCGCCCTCCATGGCCAGCACCTACTGGGCCTCTCTGCCCCCAGGACGGCCAGCACCCACTGGGCCTCTCTGCCACTGGGGAGCTGGGGGAGCATACCCAGCACCCAGCTCCAGTCCTGGGTTCTCACCTTACTCCCTGCAAAGGGGACCAGAACCCCGGGAAAAGCAACCAGCAGGAGGAAGCAGGAACAGTGGAGACGAGCTGGGCCAGAAAGGTCGGGGGCACTCCAGAAAGGTCAGGGGGACACTCCAGAAAGGTCGGGGGGGACATTCCAGAAAGGTCAGGGGGACACTCCAGAAACGTCAGGGAGGGCACTCCAGAAAGGTCAGGGGGACACTCCAGAAAGGTCAGGGGGGCATTCCAGAAAGGTCAGGGGGCACTCCAGAAAGGTCAGGGGGACACTCCAGAAAGGTCAGGGGGGCACTCCAGAAACGTCAGGGAGGGCACTCCAGAAAGGTCAGGGGGACATTCCAGAAAGGTCAGGGGGACACTCCAGAAATGTTGGGGGACATTCCAGAAAGGTCAGGGGGACACTCCAGAAAGGCCAGGGGGGACACTCCAGAAAGGTCAGGGGGA